CATTGAATATTTGGATTTATAATGAACTGCAAATACAAAACTTGAAAAGTTTTGGAATGAATACTTGGGAGCATTCAAATGATTCGTTACGCGTTTTTTGGAAATTTCAGACCCCCACTGCCGTCATAAGACTGTCACAAGCGTGGTCCTCCCCTTGTATATTACGTTACTAAATTAACCAACCCCTCCCCCTCTACTTTATGGAGAGAACAATTCATTTTTTTGAATTGATATTCATTTTTTGAACAAGTATTGATTTTTTTCAGTGTAAAAACAAATCGGGTGATTAATGAATCCTTTTTTCAATACTTTCTGAATAGGTCAACTTATCATCAGCAGCATTTTTTTAAATTTAAGGCATTTTAAACCATTTGGTTTATTCCGCCATCTATCCTCTACCTAACCTTGCGGCTGTGGCCGACGTGCTACACTGTACCGCATTTGCTCCCGCGAGAGAGACGAAGAAAACCACAGAAAACCTCCGTCGGTACAGTCGACTTCTTTATTAGGAACCTCCCATTCGTCCAGAGCTCAGATGAGACAGACCCCACCAGAATCCGCCTCAGGCGAGCCTCTTAACCCCCTCTACCGGAAGTCAAGGGTCCCCCCCCCAGTCGGGATCCGAAGCCCAGCCACCCTTTCGAGCCCCCAACCCCTGTTTCTAAAAGTTAAAAACCCCGACCGGACCGGGATTCGACCCCACGACCTCCTAATCGTTAATGGCCAAGCCGAACTAACGATTTAGCCACCGCGACCATTGGACGTCGGTATCATCACAGCATTCAAACAATAATTCCTGTTTGCGAATCAATGGGATACTTGGGAAGAGAAAAATTCTTCAAATAATTAGTCTTATGGGTAAGTCAAATGAATTTTCATTAAAATGAGTGAAGGGTCATTTGAAAACCCTGGTACAAACAGATGTTGTTGATCTATGAACGCTTATCGTTTACCGCTTTATCGCCCCATTCTTCATCTTTGACTGCCAAATGTTGCCTTTGTCGGTTGACGACAATTCGCAAAGCACCCACATTTGGAACAACTACCATTACACCACAGTGTCGCCGCTACTCTTTCGAATTCCAGAGATATGCATGATAAACCTCACATTTTTAGCTTTCTTTCTGGGTTGATATCCGCTTTTCTTTTGGTGAAAGGGACGGATGACATATATTACGTTTAGTAGATGTATGGGGCCGGGTCCAGGCCAACGTTTTGGGAAGGATCATAAGGGTCTGTTGGTCAAGTGCCGCAGGGGTCTCCCGCGAGTGGGTGGTCAGTGGTGAATTAATTGATCAATTAATTAATTAATTAATTAGCAGATTCAATTCACGGGATTAATTCGTGGGGTAACTCGCGGATTTTCTAACACAACCGGTTTGGAAACGGTCATAATGGTCAGCGGGCCAGGTATCCGAGGAATCCCTTGCCAGTGGGTGGTGGGCAGATAATTCATTGATTCGCGATATTAATTCGCAAATTTTTCAGTTCGATGTTTTGGGAAGGCTCATAAGGGTCATAAGGGTTTGACGGCGGAAGAGGCGAAGGTCAAAAATCAACAGATATTGCTTTTGATCTTATCTAGAACAATAGATCTTTCCATTTTCATGAGAAACCTTGAGATTCTTTGCGAAGAAAAAAATCACTTGTCACAGCAGGGGGTTACGAGCAAAAGGTCAAAATCATCAAATGTCATTTTTTACACAATTCTAGGAACTGTTAAGAAATCATAATGGGTAACCTTGAGATTTTTCAAATTCCCGAAATTCTTTGCGACAAAAAAAAAACGGTTGTCACAGTAGAGAGGTTAAGTGCAAAAAGTCAAAAAACAAATCACCCTTTCAAGCAATTCCGGGAAGAGTTGAAAACAAACCTTACAATGAGTGATCCAGAAGTCATAAATCAACGAATGTCCTTGAAATTTGTATTTCCTGGAATTCTATGCCAAAAAAAAATTTTATCGCCTCGGGAGTTAAGAGAGAGGATAATAAAAACATTTACTTTTTGAAAGATTCCAGGAAAAAGTCTATTGTTAAAACAAAAACACGATGGGCCTTCTAGAATGTGACTTTTTTCCACATTTTTTCCCTGGAATTCCTTTAAAAATGCATGCCTTCACGGTGGGTGGGAGGGGGGTTCTGAGGAAACAACTGATAAATATCAATGTACAGATTAAATCTTTGTGAAAAATCCTACCCTAAGTCGTTGGAAAAAGTATGTACAGGAAAAATTTCGAGGAAAAACCGTATACGTGAATGACACACCCTCAAAAAATGCTTTGAAAGAGTGAGAGTATTTACTATATAACGTCTCAAGTTCAAGGGTACAGCATCAGTTCGCTTTTTCCTCCGCTCATGAAGAGCTACTTCATCCAACAACGTCAAACTCTGAAAAGAAACTCCCTATGCCAACAGCAACAAGAGTTGAAAGATAGTCTTGAACACATCCTCAAGGATATCAAGAAGTTGAAAACTATAAAAATAAAAAGTCACTTCGAAGTGTTGTGTTCAAATCTTCAGAAAACTAAAATCGAAGTTTAATTTCCGAAGCAGACATCATGGACTTCGACAAAATCAACGCTGTGGCTGAGCTTAAGAAACTCCCTGTGATTAAAGTAGCTCATCTGGAACCTAGGGTTTTCTATACCATCACCGGAGCTTATAAGGCAAACACAAAGCATGGAGTCTGTGTTATTCTGAGTTTGTCGAATACTCATTCAATTTTTGTGAATAATCGATTGACGAAGTCTTCGAGGAAAATGAAAAAAAATCGCATTTTTCAACAACATATTGAACGAGGAGCACGAATGTTGGAATATTTGGGTGGGAAATATAATAATATCCATCTGCAGCCGGATCCAAATTTCAAGGTAGAAAACGAGGCTGATGAAGTAAATTTAGACATTCTCAACGCTGTAGCCGAATTCAAAGAACTCCCTCTCGTGAAAGTGCAACAATTAAAATGTGACTACTTGTATACTGTCACTGCAGTATTCAAATTCGAGACAAAACAAGGAGTGGGTATCGTTTTAAACTTGTCGAATACCCATTCACTGTTTGTGAATAACCGGTTGGCCAAATACTTCGATGATAACCCCAAAGAAAACGAGAATTTTCCGTTTCTCACCAACGTTGCAGTACTTGGGCGATGCTGACAACAGTATCCGTTTACATTCAGATCAAAGACTTATATTAGAAAGTGAGGATGATCAGCTAGATTTCAACAAGATAAACGATGCATTGAAAGAACTCCCCCTATGCAAACTGACTCAACTTGAACGTGACTACATGTATACTATTACTGCGGCTTACAAAGTCAAGACAAAATATGGAATGAGTGTTATTTTTTATTTAGATAACGCTCTTTCAATTTTTCTGAATAAAAGTTTGACCAAGTTCTTCATTGAAAACACTCAGCAGTTCAGCGCTTTACTGGATGAAATCAAGAGAGGTTCGGCAAAGTTGCAGTACCCAGGTGGAGAATACAGCAGCCTTCGCCTTTCATCTGATGAAAAAAAGGGAGTTCAACCTAAAATTATAAAATGAAATGAACAAACAATATTTTAATTTTAATTTTTTTATTAATGAAAAATTCCCACTGAAAAATTTTACAATGTCATTGTTAAAAATCTTATAGGATTTTGATGATAGGGAGGTCGAGAGGGAAAGTGAATTGGGATGATTTGCCGGAGAATAAATGAAGATGAGTTTCGTTGATTGTCACTGTATTTAAAACGATAAATTGCACTCAAAATTATAACAGATGAGGTTCAAATAAATAGTTGAGATACCAGAGTGGGTTACCGGATACTTGTTCCCCGGAAAATCGTACCCGGAAAATCGTACCCCAGGAAATTTGTTGCCCGTAAAAATGTTCCCCATTTCTATTTTTTTTTCTCTCTCAATCCTTGAAAAGTTCCTCTTTTTTTCCTGCCTCAATCCTCGTTTTGTTTGCATTCTTATTCCTCTGAATGGCCACTATTTACTTCTTGATTCAACCGGTATGTAATATTTCGGTATTATGGTGATTTGGGTTTGAGAGGGGGAGGGGGGGCTCATGGAGAGATGTTATTATCGTATATCGAGTAACGTGTTCATCAGGCCTACAGTTGTCAGTGTGGTATCGCTGTTCCTAGGGACTTGTTGTTGCATATAATCAATTAAAATGGTGGATATTGTTGCTTATTTGCTAAACCAATCTCAGTCGTCAACATTTGCCTGCCAGAATTACTGCGACAAAATTTATAAGATGCCATGAATAGCAGCATAAATGCAGAGCCGAGTAGCAAATAAGCAACAATATCCACCATTTTAATTGATAATATGCAACAACAAGTCTCTACGAATAGCGATACTACACTGACAACTGTAAGCCTGATGAACACGTTACTCGATATACGATAATAACATCTCTCAATGAGCCCCCCTCCGCCTCTCAAACCCAAATCACAATAATACCGAAATATTACATACCGGTTGAATCAAGAAGTCAACACTAGCCATTCAGAGGAATAAGAATGCAAACAAAACGAGGATTGAGGCAGGAAAAAAAGAGGAACTTTTCAAGAATTGAGACAGAAAAGAAAGAAATGGGGAACATTTTTGCGGGGAACAAATTTCCTGGGTAACGATTTTCCAGGTACGATTTTCCGGGAATGATTTTCCGGGGAACATTTGTTCTAGCACCACCGGAGTGGACTGTACAAACACAAATATAACGATAAGTTGCCGGTGATTTACGATGACTTTCGATAATTGACCGATGAAATGCCCGATGATTGCGCCGATGTGCATCCGGATAATTTTCTATGATTCGTTCCTGATAAGATTCGATGATGTACTGACTACCGTAGAATATGCTCACGACTACGTGGGTGCTGGTCGATGGTTGGGAATTTCCGTAAGGGACGGGGAAAGGAGTTGGCCCAAAATACAGGCCAGATTTTGAACATCCCGCCCGCCCTGCGTCACCTCCTAGTGACGAAGTATAGTTGATGGTCCTCACTGTTGATCCTCTAGTAGGTCTGCGTTGATGAGCAATGGAACTAGTCTGTGAATTGCCCGTTGAATTTCCTGATGCCCTTTCCTCAGTGTGACAACTCTTGTCAAATGGTCGTGCCCTGGATGAATTTTGATGACTCGGGCGAGGGGCCATTTAGCTGGCGGTTCCCGTTCGTCCATGATGAGGACCAACGAACCAATGTTAATTTCGTTTTTTGGATGTCTCCACCGATAGATTTGCTGATATCGATGAATGCACTCTCGTGCCCAATGCTCCCAGAAGTTCTGGATCCTCTGAGTGATAATTTGCCACCTGTTGAGTCTGTCCGTCGTGATTTGCTGGAGTGATGGTTCAGGAACCGTTGTGAGCAGCTCCCCGATGATGAAGTGCCCCGGTGTCAGGGCTGATGTATCTTGCGGGTCATTGGTGAGTGGGCAGAGTGGCCGAGAGTTGAGTAGGCCCTCGACCTGAGTCAGAAGAGTCGTAAATTCTTCGTACGTCAAGGTCGAGGTCCCGATGGTCCTCCTGAGGTGATGCTGTGTTGATTTCACAGCGACCTCCCACTTGCCACCCATATATGGCGAGTGAGGGGGGTTGAATATCCACTGTCTTGTCTGACGCTAGCCGATCTCTGATAACAGCCGATTCGCTGGATGCCTGGTCGAAGAGATTCCTGAGTTCTCTCTCTCTGCTCCGATGAAGTTGAGTGCCCTGTCACTGGTCAGGGTCGCACAGATACCCCGTCTTGAAAAGAAACGTTTGTAAGCTGCGATGAAGCCCTCCGAAGCAGACAAACAGACGGATGTACGCCTTGTACATTGTTTTACTTGCCCCTGATCCTCTCCATCTCAGGACGTTGACTGGGCCAGCAAAGCCCACTCCTGAGTGGAGGAAAACGCTTGAAGGTGTCACTCGTCGCGCTGGCAGCTATCCCATCAGCTGTTGAGCCCTCAATGCCCGATGACGTGCACAGATAACGCACTTAATGATGTGCGAGTGTACTGCAGCTGGCCCACCAATGATCCAGTACCTCTGTCGGATGTGTGCCAATGTTAGTTCAGTTCCCACATAGAAACTCCGTTGATGAGCATCGGTGATGATGAGCGTTGATAGCGATAAGTGACGTGGGCGAATAATTGAATTTTTCTCCTCCGGATCCAACGTTAATTTTCGTAGACGTCCGCTCAGGCGCATGACGTCGTTCTCCAGATATGGCGTCAGCGTCGCCATTCGATGATTTGCTGCCGGTGTGTTGTCTGTCCATAGAGTGTTAATTCCCGCCTCGAAGTAGAGCTGTTGAGTGTACCTCACCCAGTACAGTCTTACCTCTTCGAGCTCTTGTGGTCCTAATTGGGGAGATTCCGGTGGCGGCTGCTGTTGGAAGCGTCTTGCGGCTCGATGGATTCAGGCTGTAATCCGCAATAGCTTCATCAACGATAAATATCTGATGAGCAGTGCATCCGCCTCGGCGATTTGCACTGGATGCGAGCTGTTGATTGGCGGTCTCGCTTCTCGAGCCGCTTCTGATGATATCTCCGCTATCGATGATAGATACATTAATGAGTCTAGTCATTGATCCGGTGGCAGGACAAGCCATGAGGGTCCTGTCCACTACAGATGATGCTCCGCCAATTGCTTCGGTGATAGACCCCTTGATGCGCAGTCTGCCGGATTCGCCTTGCCATTGATATGTCTCCAAGTGACATAAGGCAGAGTATCTCTTATATCAAGAACCCTGTTCTGCACGAAATCCTTCCAATGCGATGGATCTCCGTTAACCCAGGTGATGGCCACTGATGTGTCGTTCCAGAGATGGACATGTATGTTTTCCAACTCCAGCGTTCGTTGTAAGTAGGCCAAAAGATCCGTTGCCAGGAGAGCTGCTGTTAGCTCCAGCCGTGGTATGGTCATTTTCTTGAGCGGTGCTACCTTGGTCTTGGCACAGACCAGGGTGACAGCCGTTCCCGATGTCGCTGATGATGCTCGAAGATAGACCGATGCGCCCGTCGCCAGATTCGATGCGTCCGCGAAACCGTGTAGTTGAACTTCCGTCGTGTTGGGCGATAAATTGAGCTATCTCAGTATTGATAGGCTGCTCAGCTGCTAAAGTTCCTGCCTGAAGAGTTGCCAGCGTTTTACGAAAGCCATTGGAAGTTGATCGTCCCAGTTGAGTTTGAGCAGCCATAGCTCTCGGATGAGTATCTTTGCCGTGATGATCACCGGCGCGATGAGTCCCAATGGGTCGTAAATTTGCGCAATCTTGGACAGGATCACGCGCTTGGTGATGGTGTCCGGGTTGGAGCTCCTCGCTTTGTAGTGGAAGGTATCTGCCTGAGGCTGCCAGCAGAGTTTCAGCACTTTCACCGTTGATTCTTCAAATTCGATGGTTGGAGCTGATCTCGATGAGAGCCTGAGTCATTTCAAAATGTGTGGCACATTGCTGCATAATTTCTGCAGGGGCATGCCGCCCGCCATGCAGAGGTTGATTAACTACTTGATGATCTCATCCAGTTGATGCTCCGTTTCTGCACCTCCGTATATTTCGTCAACATATTGTCCCTTGATAAATGTCGGTAAGGCCAGTGGAAATCGATGACCTTCGTCGATGGCCAACTGCTTCAGCACCCGTAGCGAAAGCCAGGATGCACAGCTGGTACCATAAGTGACTGTCGTCAGGAGTTCCAAGAGTTTTTGGTGCCGTCTGTTTCGTTACTTTCAATGATGAATTCGGAGCACAGTCAGTGCCGCAGACTGGCCCCGAAATAGTCCAGCCGAAGATGGTTTGCTGGGCTATCAGATGCGTCTCCTTGAACCTGATCATTCTCTGTCCGATGATTCTCCCGTAGACGTCAGCTCCGATGATGATGTGGATGGCCCCAGGTTTTAAAAAGTGAGGATCTGCCAGTTGAAGTTCTAGTAGGTGATGAGGAATCGTTCATTTGCAAGTGAATGGTAGTATGTTCGCCGTCAGTTTGCTCAGGATGTGGGCGATAATGTTGATTTGAGCAGCGCGTTCATGCCTCGGTTGTCGGGCGACAGTATGTTCGCCGTCAGTTTGCTCAGGATGTGGGCGATAATGTTGATTTGAGCAGCGCGTTCATGCCTCGGTTGTCGGGCGACAGTATGTTCGCCGTCAGTTTGCTCAGGATGTGGGCGATAATGTTGATTTGAGCAGCGCGTTCATGCCTCGGTTGTCGGGCGACAGTATGTTCGCCGTCAGTTTGCTCAGGATGTGGGCGATAATGTTGATTTGAGCAGCGCGTTCATGCCTCGGTTGTCGGGCGACAGTATGTTCGCCGTCAGTTTGCTCAGGATGTGGGCGATAATGTTGATTTGAGCAGCGCGTTCATGCCTCGGTTGTCGGGCGACAGTATGTTCGCCGTCAGTTTGCTCAGGATGTGGGCGATAATGTTGATTTGAGCAGCGCGTTCATGCCTCGGTAGTCACTACACGACGCATGCTCCCCGATGAGGTTTCTCTGATGCCGACGATGAAAATTGATGATGACCTCCGCTCCAGATGGAGTCGATTGACCAAGCGTTCAGAGACTAGTATTATCTCTGAGCCCTGGTCGATGAGGATCCGTGTTGGCCTTGAATTCCCATGACGATTGAGGGTGAAGACCCTCGCCGTCGGCAAGATTACAAGTTGAGTTGCATTCTGATGAGGTCGTTGAACTTCCAAAACGTTGATGGTGTCCACCGGATTTACCTGGTATAGTTCTGATTGTCGATTGACCTGGTACTCCTCTGATTGACGATGATCTCCAACGTACATGGGCTTTAAATGAGGTTGATGTCCCACCCGATACTTTTCTGATTGTCCAGGATCTCCAATCTGATTGTGCAAGGTCGTTGACCACTTTCTCTCGATGAGTGCCCGTGTAGACGATTTAATTTCTGATGCTGAGTCTTAGCGCGATGATGGGCCGGATGACTTGTTGACATATTCCTGGTTAATGAATATCTGTCCTTGATGATGGTCCGGTTATCGCCTGTCAGGTTGGTGGTCTCTGGGGTCTGAGACAGTCGTAAATTCTCCCAGTCAACATTAAACCCGATGAAGATTTCCCTGATGATGATGATGATGTTGAGGGGAGAATCACAGAGGATGAGGCCGCATCAATTGCCAAGATTTGATTGTAGAATAATAAAATGATACTTGACCTCTCCTCTGGTGTTCCTGGAATCCCCTCTCTCGCTTGGGCACTACCGAGATGCTGGCCATGTCTGCCATTTCCTCCTCGAAGCTCTTGATGAATGTCTCGAAACCCTCTGTCTCGATTCCGTCTGCCCAAAACGATGTTGGTCCCGCTTTGCTCCTTGCTATGATGAATTTACTTCCTTACCGACCGTAGATGTATCCGTCGATGATTTACCAACTGCAGTGTCAAGCCTGCCGATTAGTTACAGACTGCCTCGTTGAGGTGAAAGCACAGCGCTCACTCTACGACTGCGGATGGGTGGGCATGGACAAATCCGATGAATGCCGATGTGCGACGACCATTGACGAAGTGGCACCTGATGCGACTCCGGCTTTGACGTCACGAGGTTCCTCGTGTTGAGTGTCCTCTGGTGCCGATGTAAACAAAGGCAATGGAATTTATTGCCTCTATAAATCCGCTGATTGTCCGACCTCTATGTGGTTTCCCTTGATACAGTTTTGTGAAGCCCGAAAAGCCTCGCTACTGACGGCGTCGGTTTTTCACCCACAATGATTTTTCACTGCACTCTCACTCCACTATCCGGCACGAAGGACCAATGTTAAAAATCTTATGGGATTTTGATGATAGGGAGGTCGAGAGGGAAAGTGAAGTGGGATGATTTGCCGGAGAAGAAATTACGATGAGTTTCGTTGATTGTCACTGTACTTAAAACAATAAATTGCACTGAAAATTACACCGGATGAGGTTCAAATAAATAGCTGAGGTACCGGAGTGGACTTTACAAAAACAAATATAACGATAAGTTTCCGATGATTTACGACGACTTTCGATAATTGACCGATGAGATGCCCGATGATTGCGCCGATGTGCGCCTGGATAATTTTCTATGATTCGTTCCTGATGAGAGTCGATAATGTACTGACTACCGTGGAACACGCTCACGACTACGTGCGTGCTCGTCGATGGTCGTGAATTTCCGTAAGGGACGGGGAAATGAGTTGGCCCAAAATACAGGCCAGAATTTGAACAGATTTTTGTTTTGTGTCCGTATTCAGTTGGCTCTTTATACGATTTTGACAATATGGGTTCTGTGGATATATAACTTCATGCACCAGTTCTCAATATTCAAGAGGGAATACCTGCACAGTATGTTATTACTCTTTAACATTTATGCTTCATTCTGTTTATAATTATTAAAATTTCATTTTCTAGATTTATCGGATGTTCATATCGACATCTTGGATTTTGCACAAAAAATTGAATCAGATATTCTGTATTCGTTCTTATTTGTGCTTCCGTTGGGTACAAAATAACTCTAGTTGATGATTCATACACAACATTTTCCCGACAAAATCAAGTAAATAAGAACATGTAATCATTGCTCACCGTAAATTGAGTATAAACTGATTT